GCATTTTGTTATACGTAGATGTAGAAGAGGTTAATGCAATTGTGTTTGTAAAGAAATGCCTTGTGGTTACATTGAGAGAAGTGTTATTCGTTTGGCTAAGAAGAAAATCTGTTATTTCGACATAAGTATGAAAGCAGTTAATTCATCTAAGTGTAAGTAATTACATGTCTTATTATACCATCACAAAACTTGTTTATTTATCTACAACTTGCAATTATAATTTTGCGAGGTTATGTCAGTTTGACGTTTCTGTACAATATCAAGCATTAAATATTCAAGTTTCCCCAGTTGGACCAAAAACAGTTGCCGAAGCTGAGCCGGTCCAATTTCGGCAACAACATTTTTTTCATGGATAAATTATAATTAACCCTAGAATGCTACCCTTTGAAAAACTTCTGGAAATGGCAACCATTCGTCTCCGAGACAAAGTATGCGTAAGCGTGCTTAATCCTTATTTTAAAAGCTAATTGCAGGACCCCTGTTTCACCTTCTAGTAGTGATTATGATGAAGATAGAAGTGTAGCAAAAAAAAAAAAAAAAGATTTAGGACAGTTCATGAAAAAATATCACCGCGAGCAAAGAAAAATCCAAATCCAACTGGCCCTTCGTCTTCTCGCAGTGCACCAATAGCACAAAGAACAGTCGAAATAACAAGCAGCCCTTACAAATCGCTGTTATACCAAAACTTTAAAAAAAAAATCAGTTCACCAAAGTTTAACAAAATGCAGAAACATAAATAAGAAACTGGTGATTCATGGTTTTGTATATTATGTGAAGAAACCAAGGAAGAAAAAATTATACAATGCATGAAATGTCACACTTGAATACATAGTCGGTGTGCTGGAGTTCGTGCTGCAATTAAAAGGTTCTTTTGTAGTAATTACTGTTAAGAAAGCTTATGATCCAATTTAGGAAACTAGCGGTCCAAATAAGGAAACCGGTTTCCTAAATTGAACCGATGACACGTTTTTTTTTAATTCATTTTTCACCTTTATAAATAATTTTCAAAATTTAATAAAAGGTTCTATTTTGAAGGTACACTTAGTGAGTTTATTTTCTACTACCTAATTTTTATTGGCACTTCTTCCGTCCTTCTATATAGTGAAAAATACAAAATTGAGCCAAATTAGGCTACTCTTCCCTGTATTGTAAAATGGCTGCCCTGCAAATTATGTTTAAAGTGTTTTACAACTGAATAGATGGCTAAGAGGTCTCTGTCATTGGTGCTGAACTTTTGTTCACTAATGTTCAATTTACGTGAAAAGTATACCAGAGGTTGCAAGTCTTTACCATTTAATGCATTTAATACAACACTGGCAGCTATGTTAGAAGCATTGGCCATTAGGCATAATAGCTTTTGATGAGGAGGATAGTAAGCTAGAGTTGTTGAATTCATAAAATCATGTTTACTTTGCAGTATTCGGGATGAAACGACTGTAGAAATTAAGCATTATCAAAAGATGTCATAATTCTATAAAGTTTCAGATTCTGGAAATTTGGCTATTGGTTGAGTTTTTTGAGGCATTTTTTGGGGGGGCAGTGTTTTTTTTGGGGGGGGAGCAGTGTTTCTGGGATGCGCAGAAGTTATCCCAGAAAGGCCACAAAGGAATTTTCTAGAATACATTTAGCTTGATTTAGTTTCAATCCATGTTGTCTGAGGAAATATAAAACTTGCCTATCTTGTTCTTCTCCTCATTTGATGTTCTGATTTGAATATCATTCAAACAGAGTATACAGCAATCTAGTCCCCCTAACACCCGACACACATACCTCTGACAAATCTGCCCTGCATCACAGAGGCAAAATGACATAAACATTAATTCAAATAAACCAAATGGTATTGTTACAACAGTTTTTTTAATGTCAGTTGGATTAACAGGGCTGATATGGGTGAGCTTAATTTAATGTATTATACGCATTTTTCCTATAAAATACTTGGGTATATTCTTGGATATGGGGGAGGGGATAATGATCCGGAACAGTCATGGCATTCAAGCAACAATCATTATTTCAAGGATGCCGTGAACCATTTATTTTTTTAACCATATAAAGGGGGTTTGCACAAGCAGTCTTTGACAGATGCAAGAGAAACTAAAATTCCTTGGGAGCAGCTATGAGGACCTCAGGCGATAATCAATGCAGTCTGGAAAATAACCGAGTCCCCTTGGTCTCAGTGCAATGAAAGATGGCATAATTCAGTTGCTCTTTAGGTTTTTATGAAGGATTAGTAATTTCTAAATATTTAGTCAAAATTTTTATTAAACTTGGAAGGACCTAAAAAGAATGCTTAAGGTACTGCTTCCTGGCAGAATACGAGCAACTTTTTAACTGTGAAGAAGGCATGTTCTTGGCATCAATTATACTATTATCTTTAGCATCAACTAAAAATTAAACTTCTTTAGAAAATCAATGCCTCTAGGTTGGCCAACTTTGACAATTACAAAAGACTGAGTGAACTTTTGCCATAAATTCAAGTCAAGAGTTAGAAGTTAATTACTAAATGTTGGGATTTTTGTTTCATTTGTGGCACAAAGAAGCAATACTTCAATCCCAACAGACCATCTGGTGTGAGTAAGCAGAGTGAAATGTCTGCTCTCATGTCAAACAAAAATTTCAATTTAGATGAAGGGTTGGCTGAAAGAATGCAACTTACATGGCCACAGTGCAATCACCAAACTAGTTTCTCTGGTGTCAGAAAAAGCACGAGGGAGTACACTTTTTAGCATTACAGTCAAAATTCATACGATAAAAGCACTGATGTTTACCAGATCTTTATAGCATCTCCTAGAATTACTGCAATTGTAGCAGTTCTTGCTGCTTACCTAAATTCACCAATGAGATTAGTAACTAAATCAGTTTAATCAATAATGGCAAATATCACATCCCTCCTGCTCCCTTATATTTATTTACTAATATGTCAATAAAATAGAAAATAACTATTTATAAATGTTAATTAGTCTATAAAGAAAAATATTATTTCAGTTTGTCTTCCCCCCCCCCAGTTTACTTTAATTTTATTTCAAATTCAAACTGTTCAACAAAAACTGCAGTCTGAGTCGACATGTTTTTTAGCAACTCCGAGCCCTTTTACCCCAAAATCTACCAGACTCCGATTCCATGACTCCGACACCTGGATTACGTGGCAAAGTATAAGAAAGCGCAGCTAGTGCTATCACGCAGCGAGACTAACAACTCGCAGCCAGACTTTGACAAGATATCTTGGTTGATTGCTGATTTAGTCTCAGGGGGCCATTTCCCTGAGACTCAAAGAATTACCATTTCCAGACACGTGCATTTAAAACACCAATTCACATACATGGCACCACACACACATGGTGAGCAACCATCAAAATCGTAAAAATAATTGAAAATATCTGTGGTATCTAACTTTTCTGTATCATTGTTTTTGATTTTATACTTGTAATTAATAAACTGATGACAGATCCTCTGGATGCACATGGATGCTTATACTGGACGATGCATGTTCGATATTTCACTTATGAGTCACAACTATGCTATACTGTGTACACCATTATAGTGTACTAGGTCATAACATATATTATGTTCATTATACTGGAATAGAAGTAATTCACTTAACTAATTAAATCACTCATCATCTTCAGAAGATAACTGTTATATTTAACAAAAACAAATTACAAGAATGCATGCATCTGCATGAAATGTAAACATGAGCAGAACTTCTAAGAAAAAATTTTACTGATCTTTGAGCAGAACTGCACTACTAACTGATATGCAGTTATAGTTACATACATACAGTTTCTTTACAGTTAAAGTTAGAGAATAGCTCAGAAGTCTAGTTATGGTTAAACCGACACACACACTTGTATATCCAAGCCTAAAGCATAAATCATTTTGAAATTATATGTACTGCATCTCAGCAACTAAGAAAAAGTCATGATATTTCAGCTTTGGTAATATACTTTGGAAGTTATAACCACTTTAGGAAGTTACACATTTTTAAGAAAAAATTTTTTACATCTTACAGCCCTTTAGCACTGGAATTGTGGCACAAAGCATATTAATTTTGAAGCTGAAATTTCATTTCAAATTCATTATTAATATGCTTTGAACCACAGTTCTTGTGCTAAAGCATTCTAAAATTCCCCTCTTTTATAGATAAAAGAATTTGAAAAGAGATGCAGTTTTCTTTTATTTCCCCCTCTACAGTCAACATTACTAATGAATTTGATAACAAGCAATTTTATTACTGAACTAAAAACACATTTCTCCCTTCTCAAATGATGACAATTTTCGTTAATTTCTTTTTAATGATGTTTTTTAACATACCACCCTTGACAACATGAAGCAACTTCAAATTAAAAACTTAAAATGGAGGAGAAAATGCAATTTAACATATAATATCACAGTCTTAACGCAACATTTCACAAAATGGTTATGTTCTGACTTATATATTATATAGAAGGTTATTTGATTTATTGGATTCCTATGCATGACAAATATATTTTTCATTCCAAATTACAAGGTAGGTTGTGAAAGCTATTTTATTTCAAGCAGCTATAGTGGTTCGTGACACTAACTGCTCTACCGATGGGCTCGGGTTTGAATCCCAGAAAAGGCATGAATATTTGTAGGTGTATAGAACCTGTGCAACAAGGAGATACTTAAAATACATGGTAAGCCAAAAGTGCTCTTGAGAAACTAGTGGTAGGGGAAGAGGAATGGGAGACCTTGGATCACCACCTCAGATGTTCTTCCTCATAACTGGGGAGGTATTGCACAGTTAGTGTAGCCAGACTATCACATGTATGACCAGTGGTGAGTTTCTGATGTCCTGTCCACTTCTAATAGTAACAGCACTTTATTTTGCAAAATGCATGTAGTTAAAACAATAAGGAATAAAATACTAAATACTGATAAGCATACATTTTATTGGAAATTTACGAAAACCAGTAAGAAACAGCAAAATAATTTATGGTATAATAAACCTAACAATATTTAAGATTAAAGATGTCACTTACATATGGATTTCCAACAGAAACGGCAACAGGAGGCTGAGGAGAAAGAATTATGTGGCGTAATGTTCCATGTTCATCTACAATTTGCTGTACCATGTGCCCTGGGGGCACTTGAACGGGCATTGGCACTGGAGGAGTATTATTACTGGACACCATGCGAACAGTAGCAGGACCTATAATACATAATTATCTATCATTCAAAAGAAGTTATAATATAGTATGTCCCATAAAATTCATCACTTTTCAAAAAATCATAGTATATCAACAAGTTAGATTAATAGTGTACAGTTTGGACTTACAGATTTATTACAGAGGCAGAATGTTTTGGGCATGAGAATAAATTTTATTTCAAATTGTCACTGACAGATAACACATTTAATATCATACTATTAACAAAATTTTAAAAATTTAGATTATACAGAATTTATTTATTTGCATTTGCAAATAGATCACAATGCAACTAAAAATGTAGCAATGTAACTTCAGCTTCAGTTACACGTTTTAAAATATTTGAATTTTGAATTTTTTAATATAAATGTACACCACCATCAGTGAAAATTTGAAATGAAATGCACTTACCAAAAAGAAATTACATTGTGCCCAAAGGGGCGTTTTTTTTAACGTTTTGTGGGTTACCTTTATTTATTAAATATCATGCTCTTCGCACTAAAGTCATAAAATTTAGTTCAACAGCAATCTCACAAATAATTTTAAAAGGAACAATTTTTAGAATTTCCGATACGACTTGTGCCCTTAAGATATGTCCCCCCCCCATACAGAGTTTCCAATGCTTGCTTTGAAATTGTTGAGTTTGTTAATCAAAAATTCGTTAAAGTATTAAAAAATAATAAAACAAATTCAAATTTTGGCTTCCAGATGCCCATATTGGAAACGTACGTTATTCAAAATTTGATGGCTCTATGTAATGCTGTTTTATCAGAATGCGAGAAACATACATACATTGATGCAGATTTTTCATCATTTAATTTCTTAAAATATAATACAGGAATGTAATATGTGGTGGCAACAGTTCGAAAAGTGAACCGACATTTAAATTTTTCAACAAAAAATGCCAAAACGAAATTAACAGCCCTTCTGGGCTAATGCCCTTTGAGCTAAGAAAAACTACTTTTATGATATATTTCTGGGTGCAAACCATCTGTTCCATGCAAATTTGCTAATTTTACACTTTTTTTTAAGTGTTCAAAATTATAGGACATTTGTACTTAGTAAATCTTTTGTGATAAAAAAATAAAATACTTTTTAATGTTTTGCTTTATTATGTAACCATTCTCATAAATACTGATATTATTAGAATCATGCCTCTGTACATTATCTTTACATATTTTACTCAATATACATAAATTGCTTACATACATACACAATTCTACTTAACATATCATCGCTGTCAAACCAATATCTGCTATGTGCACTTTTTTTTAGATTTCGACAGCTTAACTATTATTACATTTGATTACCTAAAAATAAAATAATGTATAACACATGTAACTTTAATTTAAATTAGCTTTCAAAAATCTGCTTCGTATAAAATTTTACAGGAGAACGTTTTTATTCAAGTTATACTTTTTGCACATAGTATTGGTTTGACACCAACGATATATAAAGTGCAAAATATAGAATACACACTACACCAGAGGTTATACAGAATAACAAAAATGCCTCAAAAAAGGAAATAAACTAGAAAGAGAAGGAAAAATAAGTGAAATTAATTACTTTTAAATTTAAAAGCAATATAAGAAACTCACAATAAATTTGTTAATAAAAATAAGCACCAGAATTTATCTTTTCTTGCAAACAAACAGAAATTTTATTATCCCTACAATAGAGAAATTTGGAGTTCTGGTGTTAATACAGTCTTGAAGACATTTTTTATAACAGCTAGATGAAAAAAAATTGCACCATTCAAGATACTTTTGTAGCATTAGGAAAAAAAAGAAATGGATGAGGAGATATTGAGTATGATAAGAAAGTTTCAAAACCTACATAATTTAATTTCTGTAGTGTCTGTCAACTGTTAAATACACAACAAGTCGTTGCAAAGGACCTTTTACAGCTTAAGTTATTTAACTTCCAAGAACCTCAATGGTAAAATACATGATAAATTGTTACAATGCATTAGAACTGAACTTCTTAGTCTGAAAATTACTGGCCTAAGAACTGAAGATCTTGGTACATTTCTCAGTTATTCGATAGTATTTCTTTGCTTTAATGGTTTTTACCTTGATCAAAGAATTGCAGTAGAACACAAAACAATTGTTGTAATCTTGTTTAAGTATATTTCTCCTTTTAAGAACTTTGTCATAGCTTTATTTCTGTCTAACAGTCTACAAAATACTTTCTGTTGTCATAGATGACCCACCCTTTTTTTTCCCTATATTTTATAATATGATAAAAAATAGACAATTTGCATTGTTCAAAATACAAGCCCAAGGTATACTTCATAATGGATAAGAATTATTCACCATTTGCCCATTAGTGGCTAAACGGTTGTAATTGCTAAATATTAAAAGTTTGAGCTGTACTCAATCCCAGGCAAATAGGCTGGCTGCATGTTAGGCTTTTGTGGTTTAACTCATTTGTAATGTGAATAGAAGCCAGTTTTCCTTAGAACAGTCCTCCATGAAGGCATCCTTTTCAATAGGCAGGTACAGCTAGAAGCTAGGCAAGCACCTCTGTAGTACCACACATGATTGAGGTATTGCTGAACCTAGTAGCTAACTATTAAGCCGAAATTTTGAGGAAGAACACTGAGGGAAAAGGTCCTCCCACCCTTCTCCCACCAACTTCTCTAGAGCACTTACAGCTCACTATGTATTTTGAGCGCATCCTTGCTGTATAGACAGTACTAGTGGCGTAGCGAGAGGGGGCAAGGGGGTGTATTATGCCCTGGGCGCCGCTTGCAGAGGGGCACCAAATGGTCTACAAACAAGATTTTCATCATATCACAGTGTTTTTTTTTCGGGGAAGGGGGGCACCAAAAAGGTATTTTGCCCCGGGCGCCAGTAATGCTCGCTACTCCACTGGACAGTACGTGCTTACAAGTATCTGCTTTCTCCAGGATTCGAACCCAAGCCCACTGGTATGGTAGTCAGCATCACCAAACACTATACAGGCTGGGCAGCATTTTCCCTTTGACAGATGGCCTTTGTATACTTTGCCATATTCAAATAATCTAACTTAAACCTATGTCAATGTTCAAACTTTGTAGCACTCATTTATCAAGTTCCTATCTTCCTAAGTATTTAAAGTGAATCAAAACTGTGAAATAAATCAAATAATTCTTGTCAAAACTTTCAAATCTTCTCGCAAGTATCTGTTTCAAATTATCGTCTTCAACTACTGATGGACTCCTGGGAAATTTTGCCATCATGAAGGCTTAAATTTACAATACGGAATATTTGAAACCACCGTCCCATCACACAGTCCTTAACAGCACCTGGACCAAATACATTACTCAGTTTAAAAGTTGTTTTTACTGTAATATTATCTATTTTAAACTCACATAGAAATATTACTCTAAGCAGCTTCTTTCCCTCCCCCATCATTAATTCAATAGCCTTTCTTAACCAAATTCATGTTTAGAATTTAATCATTATAAAATCTACACTTAAAAACATATACAGCATTAAATTTTATTGGAATGAAAACCAAATACAAAAACCTCACTTATTTGCCTGACAACTTATGAAGCATTTAATATACAGTGTAGAAAACCATGTCTGTTGTTTAAAACAGGTTTAATTTGGCTGTTTATATAGATTTCCTGGATGATGAATGAATACACCGAGATCTAGATGATCAAGCAAAATCTGCTACTCCCTCACACATGCAGTAAGATAAAAACAGAATTTTAATCTGTTTTTCAAGCATACTATAATGCATCAATGCTATATAAATCTGGTGATTATGGCGGGTAGGTTCCACGTACAACCAGGCCTCAAACTACGACTGGACATTCCAAGCTCCATACACACGAAAGCTGCAGCCATTTGTAATAAACAATGTCTATGTTACTAAACATGCATGATCACCCAAAAGTTTTTAGTTGGACATTCATCGATTGTCTCCTTTTCATTTTGAAAATGGAACTTTAGAAAATCTTGATATGATTCCCCAAAATGTGATGGAACCTTCACCATACTGCAAGAAGAAAACTCTTTGAGTTCTAAACTTAAAAAAGATTAGAAACCAAACAGCACATTTGTATATGGGAAATAATGTGAGTATTGATTAACTAGCTTCAAAAGTTTTTAGTTGGGCATTCATCAATTGTCTCCTTCTTTTCATTTTGAAAATGGAACTTTAGAAAATCTTGATATGATTCCCCAAAATGTGATGGAACCTTCACCATGCTGCGAGAAGAAAACTCTTTGAGTTCTAAACTTAAAAAAAGATTAGAATCCAAATTTGTATGTGAGAAATAATGTGAGAATTGATTAACTAGCTTATTTTAGTTTGCTCCCATGCTTTTGACATATTAAAAACCTAAGGAAAGGGATGCTTCCACAAAAGACATTAGATGAAAGTGATCATAAAAAACCTAAGTGAAACTAGATGGACATGCATTACACATGAGAAACCACAAAAATAACTACACAGGCCTTTTACTAGGTTAGGTTGATTCATTGGACCACAATACATTTATCTCTTCATTAACATTCCATGTCTTAAGTTCTTGGTGCCAATTGTAGTTTCAATTTTGCATTGATTTGTGAAACAAATGGTCTCGAAATAGCAGCTCTGCCATTAATAAACAATCTTGGATAACTGAACTCTCACAACATTGAATCAAAACTAGGTTTAGTAATTTTCTAGTTTGAGAAACTAATTCTTTTTAATGTCACTCTCAGGATGTTTCTTTCCACAGTCAGGGCTTGCAAACAATGTTTCATAACGAACACTATATGCTGATATGATTTCACACAACTCCCAATATTTCTAACATCAATGACTTGGCAGCTTCAACTTAGCCTAAGAACTCTTTCAAATTACTCAAGTACAATATGAATAAGAAATTCCACTAAACTTTCAACAGCTAGCTTGCAGAACAAGCTATACTTATGAATATGAAATATAATAAGATTAGATATAATAAAAGGAGCATGGCCCTACAAAATGAAATTAGTTGCAGTGTCATGACAAACTTTTATTCA